CGGGGCAGAAGGGTGATACAGGGGGCAACTGGGGGATGATGGGGTGGAAGGGGGATGTAGGAGGCAAATGGATATACAGGGCAGGTGGGGGCATATGGGGGGCAACTGGAGGATGATGGGGCAGAGCGGGGGGATATAGGGAGGGAAATGGGTAATGACAGAAGGGGGATATAGAGGGCAAATGAGGGATGTACGGAGCAGATGGGGGGATACAGGAGGCTACTGGGGGATTTTGGGGGATGCTGCAGGGGTGTGCTGGTACTGATGGTCTCTGCGGGACAGGCTGCACATCGGGAAGGGCGTGCAGCTGGAGTGCCGGGGCGAGGGCGACGTGTGGATGCGGTGCCTGAGCGACCACGCCGTCTTCGTGCAGAGCTACTACTTGGACCGGGAAGCCGGGAGAGCCCCGGGGGACGCCGTGCACAAGATCTACCCCGGTGCCTACATCAAGGTGGAGCATCCCCAGAGGGAAGGGGGGGATCTTGCATCCAGGAGGGAGGGGTGCCAGGGATGGAGGGACTCCCTGAGCCCATGTTAAAGGGGGTCCCAGGCAAAGGGTCCCCCATGCTGGGGGGCAATGGAGGAACCCCGGGGATGGAAGGACCCCTGTGCTTATGCTGAAAGGGGTCCCCGGGGCATCACCCTCCCATGCTGCCCAGCTGAGGGGTTCCCTCCGTATTGTCCTCAGGTATTTGACCTGCGCCAGTGCCACCGCCAGATGCAGCAGCAAGCGGCCACGGCTCAGGCTGCGGCTGCTGCTCAGGCTGCTGCTGTAGCAGGCAACATCCCAGGTCCCGGCTCAGTGGGAGGCATCGCACCCGCTGTGGGTGAGTGAGCGAGCCCCTGGGGCTGAGCCGAGTGGGGAGGATAGCACCCTCATGGCCATGGGGATCCCCCACCCATGGCCGTGTCCCTCCCGGGCAGGGCTTTCAGCGGCAGCAGGGATCGGCGTGGATGACCTGCGGCGGTTGTGTATCCTGCGGCTGAGCTTCGTCAAGGGCTGGGGGCCTGACTACCCCCGGCAGAGCATCAAGCACACACCATGCTGGATCGAGGTGCACCTCCATCGTGCCCTGCAGCTGCTGGACGAGGTCCTGCACACCATGCCCGCCGTCGAGCCGAGCCCCCTGCGCTAATCCTTGCCCCTCTTAATTTAATGTTTGTAAAAAAAAAGAAAAGAAAAAAAAAAGAAAAGAAAAAAAAAAGTTAACAAGCAGAAAAGTACCAGAATGTGCGGCGGGGACTGGTTTTAACTGTTCTTTAATGAACGGGTTTGGGTTTTGCTGCCTGGCTCTACGCCTTTCGCGGGTGCTCGGCGCTGCCGAGGGTACGGGGTGTGTCCGTAGCTATGCCCCCAGGACTACATTTCCCAGCGGCCTCCGCGGCGCAGCGCGGAAGTTGCCCGTCCCGCCTACGCAGCGGACTCCACTTCCCGGCGGCCTCTGCGCTGCAGCCATTTCCCAGTGGCCCCCGCGGCGTCGGCGGCGTCGAGATGGCGGCAGGGAGCGGCGGTCCCGCGGCGCGGGAGTTGTTTGCCGAGGGTTTGCTGCAGTTTTTGCGGCCGGCGGTGCGGCAGCTCGATGGACACGTCCATGCCGTCAGGTCCGGGAACCGGGAGCGGGGCGCGGGGCGCCTGAGGGTGAACGGCGGGAGCGGGGCTGAGGGGGGCTGAGGAGCAGGTGCCGCGACAGAAGCGGGGCTGCGGGGGCGGTACGGGGGGGGGGGGGG